CAGGCAATTCTCCTGCCTCAGCCTCCTAAGTAGCTGGGATTACAGGCACGCGCCACCATGCCCAGCTAATTTTTTGTATTTTTAGTAGAGACGGGGTTTCACCATGTTGACCAGGATGGTCTTGATCCCTTGACCTCGTGATCCACCCGCCTCGGCCTCCCAAAGTGCTGGGATTACAGGCGTGAGCCACTGCGCCCGGCCAGTTATCAGCCTTTTATACTAAACCCACAGAGAATGCAATTCAGTCCCAGGACATCCACTGTTGAGTATGAAGGGTTTTTTTTTTTTTTTCCAATTTCCTGATAGTTATGAATTTCAGTTCCCAGAAGTGGAATTATTACATCCAAGAGTAGGGATTTTTTTTTTTTAGTCTCAAAAAAAAAAGAACACAACAAAAAGAGTCTCCCTGTGTTGCTCAGGCTGGAGTGCTATGGTAAGATCTTGCCTCACTGCAACCTGCACCTCCTGGGTTCAAGCAGTTCTCCTGCATCAGCCTCCTGAGTAGCTGGGATTACAGGTGTGTACCACCATGCCCAGCTAGTTTTTGTATTTTTAGTAGAGACGAGGATTCACCATGTTTGCCCAGCCTGGTCTTGAACTCCTGACCTCAAGTGATCCACCTGCCTTGGCCTTCATTACAGGCATGAACCACTGCACCCGGCTGGTTTTTGTTTGCTATTGAGACGGAGTCTCACTGTCGCCCAGGCTGGAATGCAATGGCACGATGTCGGCTCACTGCAACCTCTGCCTCCCAGGTTCAAGCAATTCTCCTACCTCAGCTTCCTGAGTAGCTGGGACTACAGGCACATGCTACCATGCCTGGCTAATTTTTTATATTTTAATAGAGATGGGGTTTCACCATGTTGCCCAGGCTGGACTCGAACTCCTGAGCTCAGGCAATTTGCCTGCCTTGGCCTACCAAAGTACTAGGATTACAGGCATGAGCCATTGTGCCCAGCCAATTGTTAGTTTTTGAGGCAGAGTCTTGCTCTGTTGCCCAGGCTGGAGTGCGGTGGCGCAATCCTGGCTCATTGCAACCTCTACCTCCTGTATTCAAGTGATTCTCCTGTCTGAGCCTCCCGAATAGCTCGTATTAAAGATATGTGCCACCTCGCCCAGCTAATTTTTGTATTTTTAATACAGACGATGTTTCATGGTGAATTTACAGGCGTGAGTCACCACGCCCGGCCCAATTTTTTTTTTTTTTTTTTTTTTTTTTGAGATGGAATTTCACTCTTGTTACCCAGGCTGGAGTGTAATGGCGCGATCTCGGCTCACTGCAACCTCCGCCTCCTGGGTTCAGGCAATTCTCCCGCCTCAGCCTCCTGAGTAGCTGGGATTACAGGCACACATCACCATGCCCAGCTAATTTTTTGTATTTTTAGTAGAGACGGGGTTTCACTGTGTTGACCAGGATGGTCTCGATCTCTTGACCTCGTGATCCACCCGCCTCGGCCTCCCAAAGTGCTAGGATTACAGGCTTGAGCCACCGTGCCCGGCCCCCTGCCCAATTTTTTTTTAAAGCTGTTACCAAATTGTCCTCCAGAAGTACTGTCCACAGACCCCAACAGGGTTTGCCACCATTAGGCATCCCCAGATAAAAAAATATTTACGTGCACACATATATTTGCTATGAGAGATGAGAAATGGCCTTTCTTGACTGATTTTATTGGGTTTCTTAGCCAAGAGAGTGTGACTATAGGTGTGGCTTTTTTTTTTTTTTTTTTTTTTGGAGACAGAGTCTCACTCTGTGGTTCGATCTTAGCTCACTGCAACCTCCACCCAGCAATTTCATTCTTCAGCCTCCTGAGTAGATGGGACTACAGGCACCTGCTACCACACCCGGCTAATTTTTGTATTTTTAGTAGAATCAGGTTTTGCCATGTTGGCTAGGCTGGTCTCAAACTCCTGACCTCAGGTGATCCATCTACCTCAGCCTCCCAAAGTTCTGGGATTACAGGCGTGAGCCACCACACCTGGCTAAAGGCTTTTCTTTTTTTTTTTGAGACAGTCTTGCTCTGTCACTCAGGTTGGATGCAATGACATGATCTTGGCTCACTGCAAGCTCTGTCTCCTGGGTTTCAGCGGTTCTCCTGCTTCAGCCTCCCGAGTAGCTGGGACCACAGGCATGTGCTACCACGCCCAGCTAATTTTTTGTATTTTTAGTAGAGATGAGGTTTCACCGTGTTCGCCAGGATGGTCTCGATCTCCTGACCTCGTGATCCACCCACCTCAGGCAGGAGCCACTGTGCCCGGCTGCTTCTTTATTATTAATTTGGAGCCTCTGCCCATTCAGTCACTTGGGTATGTGAACTTTTCTTGTGATTTTATTTATTTTTAGACTCATTGAAGTTTTTGGGTTTTTTTTCTTTTTGAGACAGAGTCTTACTCTGTTACCCAGACTGGAGTACAGTGGCATGATCTCAGCTCACTGTAACCTCCGCCTCCTGGGTTCAAGTGATTTTTCTGCCTCAGCCTCCCCATTAGCTGGGATTACATGCGTGTGCCTGGATAAATTTTGTTTTGTTGTTTTCAGACAGAGTTTTGCTTCCCCAGGCTGGAGTGCAATGGTGCAATTTTAGCTCACCGCAAACTCCGCCTCCCAGGTTCAAGTCATTCTCCTGCCTCAGCCTCCCAAGTAGCTGAGATTACATGTTTGCGCCACCACACCTGGCTAATGTTGTATTTTTAGTAGAGATGGGGTTTATCCATGTTGGTCAGGCTGGCCTTGAACTCCTGACTTCAGGTGATCCGCCCGCCTTGGCCTCCAAAGTGCTTGAATTACAGGCGTGAGCCACTGCGCCTGATCCCGGCTTGTATTTTTAGTAGAGGTGGGGTTTCACCATCTTGGCCATGCTGGTCTTGAACTCCTGACCTCAAGTGATCTCCCCACCTCACGCTCTCAAAGTGCTGGGATAACAGGTGTGAGCCACCATGTTGGACCAATATTTAATTATATTTTCTTCTGGTTGTTCTTTAACTTGATTTCTAAAAATCCTGGTCCAGATGCCAACAGCTCCAGATACCCACCTAGAAGCTAACAGTGGGGAAGAGCGCTGGGGGGAACACCTCCAGATAGGAGCAAGGGTGGCCTCTATGACTTAAAACTGCCTCTTGACATGCTCAAAAGCAAGTACAACAAAAAGAAGCAAATGCTGCCAGTCGTTATGTCTGGGTGGTGGGTTGAAGGTCATATTAAATTCTCTCTTTGGGCTAGGCACCGTGGCTCATGCTTGTAATCCCAGCCCTTTGGGAGGCCAAGGCAGGAGGATCATTTGTGTCCAAAAGTTTGAGACCAGCCAGGACAACACAGGGAGACCCATCTCTACAAAAAATTTAGTTGGGTATGGTGGCATGCTTCCCAGCTTCTCAGGATGCCGAAGTGGGAGGATTGCTTGAGCCCAGGAGGTCGAGCCTGCAGTGAGCTGTGATCGTGCCACTGCACTCTAGCCTGGGCAACAGAGTGAGACCCTATCTCTAAAAATAAACAAACAAAAAACCAAAAATTCCCTCTTTGTACTTTGTTGTGCTTTTCTCACACTTTTTTTTTTTTTTTTTTTTGCTCTTGTTACCCAGGCTGGAGTGCAATGGCATGATCTCAGCTCACTGCAACCTCCGCCTCCTGGGTCCAAGCAATTCTCCTGCCTCAGCCTCCCAAGCAGCTGGGACTACAGGCGTGTGCCACCATGTCCAGCTAATTTTTGTATTTTTAGTAGAGACGGGGTTTCACCTTGTTGACCAGGATGGTCTCGATCTCTTGACCTCGTGATTCACCCGCCTCGGCCTCCCAAAGTGCTGGGATTATAGGTGTGAGCCACCGCGCCCGACCTTCTCACACTTTCTAAATTGAATGTGAATTGTTTGTTACAGGTAAAACACACAGTAAATGTTATTGCTAAGATCCCTAAAGAGGCCAGGCATGATGGCTCATGCCTCTTATCTCTTATCTCCCAATGTGGGAGGATTCTTGAGGCCAGTTCAAGACCAGGGAGACCCTTCACACACACACACACACACACACACACACACACACACACACACACACAGAGAGAGAGAGAGAGAGAGAGAGAGAGAAAGAGAAAGAGAGAAACATTTCCCCCTACCAGGAGAGCCAGGACTCTCTCCTGCAGTACAAAATGCTGAAAATGTTGGCTAGGCATAGTGGCTTACACCTGTAACCCCAGCACTTTGGAAGGCCGAGGCAGATGGATCACCTGAGGTCAGAGGTTTGAGACTAGCCCTGGCCAACAAGGTGAAACCTTGTCTCTACTAAAACTACAAAAGTTAACTGGGCGTTGTAGCACACCCCTATAATCCCAGCTACTCGGGAGGCTGAGACACGAGAATCACTTGAACCCAGGAGGTAGAGATTACAGTAAGCCTAGATCACACCACTGTACTCCAGCCTGGGTAACAGAGCAAAAAAAAAAAAAAAATTATCTGGGCGTGGAGGTGCATGCCTGTAATACCAACTACTCAGGAGGGTGAGGCAGGAGAATCACTTGAACCTGGGAGGCAGAGGTTGCTGTGAGCCAAGTTCGCACCACTGCACCCCAGCCTGGGTGACTGACAGAGTGAGACTCTGTCTCAAAAAAAAAAAAAGGAAAATGTGGCTGGGCGCGGTGCCTCCTGCCAATAATCCCAGCATTTTGGAAGGCTGAGAAGGGCAGATCACTTGAGGCCAGGAGTTCAAGACTAGCCTGCCAACATGGTGAAACCCTGTCTCTGCTAAAAATATAAAACTCAGCCAGGTATGGTGGTGTGCATCTGTAATCCCAGGTATTTGGGAGGCTGAGGGACGAGAATCACTTGAATCCAGGAGGCAGAGGTTGCAGTCAGCTAAAATGGTACCACTGCACTCCAGCCTGGGCAACAACAACAAAGAAAGTTGAAAATGTGATGAGAGGAGTTTGCTAGCTGGGCCAAGCTGGGTCATAGGCTATAAGATGGAGCAGCCAGTCCCATGTCCTGGCCAGCAGTGGACCTGATTCCCGCTGCCCTGGCCCCTCAGCATTGGTACTTCTTATAGGCAGAGCAGTTAGGTGAGTGGCCACCAAGCTCTTGACTAGCTAAGTCTCAGTCTGACCAGGCTAAGGGACCCCCAGCTCTAGCCAGTTGGGAATATTTAGACTCAAGTCAGGGGAGGCCAGAGGCCTATCTACTTCCTAGTCCTTCGGACAGGTGCCCGAATGCTTTCTGGAACTATTGCCCAATCCCAATCCCAGCTTCCTCCCTTAAGAGCTGAACTGGCTGGGCAGCTGCCCGGATGCCCACACCCACTTCAGCGTAGCCAGTAGCTGACCCACTCCTAACTGGGTAGCTTCCCCCATCCTCCTTGATGTCCCCAGCAGGAGAAACTGAAGCAGGGCCTGAGGTGGCAAGGGGTTCCAGGCATGGCAGTCTTTTCCCCCCTGCACAGGGAGCAGGTTCCTTTACTGGAGCTGGGGCATGAAAATGGGTAACTACGCAAGACAGTGAGGTCAGGGGGGCAGAAGGTGGGTCTCTCCATGGTCCGCAAGGTCACAGGACTGAGTCCTTGCCCTCCCTCATGGTCACTCTCTCCTACCTTCTTGGGTCTCCTCAGGCATGGCAAGCAGTGGGCAGTCAGGGGCCGATGATGGCATCCAGTAGCAGGACTGGACAAAGACAGCAGTGGCTCCTTTGAGAGCCCGGGGAAGGTCTGGCTGCCTCCCAGCCTTGGCCTAAAATAGGCCTGAGCTCAGCCCAAAGGGCTATATTTAGAGGGGGCAGCCCTCAGCCATGGGAAGGGGTGGAGTGATCCACGTGGGCCTGCCTGGACTATCTACCTGGAGAGTGAGCCATCCAGGAGCCTGCCTCCACTAGTCCAGGTGCCCAGGGACCTTCAAGGCGAACCATACCTCTCCCATACACCCAAAATGAGCCCCCAGGCTCAGCAAGGCCCCACGTGTCAGACAAGACATACAAGGGACCCCTGTGCATCTCGGCCACCCCTCCACCCTGCAGACCCCTACCCATAGCAGTCATCTCTCCTCCCAGCAAACACGAGACAAGCAGCCTCCACTGCATGACTTGCTGGCACACAGTGCTATTGTGTGTGTCTTATATAGAGGGTGATGGACAACTGGAGCCTGATGCCATGAGGGCTCTGGTAGCCTCACAAGTGGGCAGATACACACGCAGCACCCATGCTGGCCAGTGGGTGGACCTAGGCTGGAGGCTGGTTCATCTGTTACTAAGCTTACAACCTTAGGTAAAGGATCTCCCCTTTCTGAGCTCCGTTTGCTGTGTAAAGTGAGAATAACAATGGCTCCTCCCTGGGAGTGTACACTGAGAACCACATCCAGAGCATGTAGCACAATGCACGGTTTTGGTCCTCCCCCGCTCCCATCTCCACAAGGGTAGACACGTTCCATAAGGTCGTGTAAGGATGCGCATCACCGCTTACCTCGAAGCAGGGAGGTGGTCCAGCTTCCAACCTTCCCTGTGGTTGGATCCCTGTGGCCCTTCTTCCCAATGGGGGCAAAGCACGACTGTGGGCTCTACTTCCCACACACTCCAAACCTGTCACAGACTGGCCTCCCTGATGTTCCTCAAAGTCAGCAAGCTTGTTCCCACCTCAGGGCCTTGGCAGTGTCTGTTCCCTTCTGGAATGCTCTGTCCCCAGATAGTCTGTGGCTGGCTCCTTCTTGTCATGGAGCTCAAATGTCACCCCTTCAGTGAGGCCTTCTGCTCACATGCTTCTCCACATCACCCAGTTTTATTTTCTTCCTAGCACTCAGCCCTGAAGTTATACTATGCACATATATAATGTAGCCTGCGTGTCAGTATTCCCAAAGGCCCTACAGAACCTGTTCAGTCACGTGGAACCACCTTTCATCCTCACCAGGCAACCTCGGACAAGAGACACTCAGGCCCTGACACGGCTACAAAGGTGTCTAAGACCACACAGCAAGGCCTAGGACTGGGGTTGTCTGCTGGGGCCATTCCAGCTTCGGCTGATAATGCTTTTATTGTGTTACTTTAGTACAGTCGGCCTGCCTCGCTCCGCCTCCAACAGCCCAACCTGTTCACAGCTTTCTGCTCACTGCTCACTGCCCAAGGAGGTGGGGTCTGTCCCCCAGGGTGGGCACTCCAGGCACCTCCTCGGCCCTGGTTGTTGCTCTGGAGCCCGGCTTCCCCGTCCCTTACCCTCCGGCTGAATCCTGCGCCCGGCCTGTGCCGCCCTTCCCAGAGCTACTACATTCAAGGGTTATCCTGTTAATAAATAAGCCCGCGCAGCTGCCCTCAGCCAGGGCCTGTCGGTGGGTGTCTATGTCGGCCGGGGACCCCCAACGGGCCCAGCCCAACCCGTCCGTCTTTTCAGGGTCTATCTGCCTCCTCTCCAGCCTGTCGTCTCCTGCTTGGTCCCTGGCGTGGGTACAGACCGGTCACCAGTGCGTTGCGCTGCGCGGCCCCCGCTCAGCGCGTGGCTCAGGAGCGTGCGTCCGCCGGTTACGGCCCTTATTCCTCCGCGACTCCGGGGGCAATGAGTGCTGCGCAAGCTGCGGGCGGCACATGCGCAGGGAGTTCGCGCTGCCACCGCCGCCAGGCTCCACCAGCTGTAGAAAGTCCCGGTACCAGAGTTTAGGGCCCGGCGGCGCGGCGGGCGCAGCCTCCTCGGCCCGCGCCAGCCGTTCGGCCTGCGTAGCACTCAACACGTGCAGCGACAGGCGACGGAGCGGCTGCGAAAAGCCCTGCTCGACGGCAGCGCACAGGTACACGCCCGAGTCTCGGCGCCGGAGCCTGCGCAGCAGTAGCCCCCGGGCGGTGCGCTCGGTGCGCTCCTCTGCCAGCACCTGCGGGCGGGGGGTAGCGTGAGGCGGGGGCGTCGGGCCCCTACCACCCAAAGGAAGAAGCAGAGTCATTGGGAGCCGAGGGGGAGCGGGAAAGGGGTGCCCGCGGGTGCACATTTGAAGGTTGTTTGGGAGCTGGTGGTCTTCCAGAGAGGATACAAACGAGGCAGGGTTTGCAGGAACGTGGGGGGTGGGTCAGGGACCTCAATAGGAGGGTCGAGGGCGAGTCTTCTCCCCGATCCAGGGGAGGCGGGTCAGGAGCTTGGTTGGACCCAATGGAGCCTCCGCAGCTTGTGGAGTGCAGGTGAGGGCCCAAACTGGGCGGGGAGGGGAGGGAGTCTGGTTGGGCGGAGCCTCGTTGAGCAGGGTGAGGCGTCTCCTGGATGCAGCGGGTGAGACTCACCTGGGTGTGGGCTGTCACCCCTGCACGCTGGAAAGTCCACTCGACGTGCGCCTGTAGCGAACGGGGCTCACACTCCAGAAAGGCGCTGCTGCCCTCCACGCCGAACACCTTGTGTTCCAGCAGTGCGGGACGAGAAAAGTCTCGGGGCAAAAAGAACGTCAGATTTAGGCAAAGCGGGGAAGGTGGGGTGTTTTCTGGGGCTGAGGGTAGGGGCAGCTGGGGGACTCACCTCCTGAGCACAGCGTGCTGGGGTTGCCATTCCTTACGTCTTGCCGCCGGAACCGCCTGAGAGGAACATTGGACCCTCCGTGAGCCCTTCTTCTTTCAGCCCTGGGCAGCGAAAGACCTTTCGCCTCCCTCCCGGCTGCCCAATCCCAACCCCGCCCACCTCTTGGTACTGGGCTGGAAGCGCGTGCATGCGACCCCGTCCCAGGCGCAGTAGGGGTCACGCGCCAGACAGCATTCGGCGCAGGCGCGGCCGTGGGCAGTGCAGCGGTGCAACGCGATCTGGGCCACCGCCCTCCGCGAGGCTACGTACAGCTGGTGCTAGGGGGCACAAAGGGCTCTGGGCTGACCGAGGGCGGCCCCGCGCCTGCCTCCTATCGGTCAGGGATCCCTCCTCCCACTCGACAGATGGAAACACTGAGGTCTCACGCCTCAAGTCAGTCTAGCAAAGGCAGAGCCTGTACTCAAACCCAGGAGTGCAAACTACCAAGGGGGGCCAGAGGCTTGGGACGTGCCAGGCACAAGCTCAGTCCATTCCACCCCCACCCTCATCCTCTGGTCACTCACCCTCTTGGAGGAGATTTGCATGCTGGTGACAGCGCTCGAGTCCTGAGAGGGAGGAGGGGCGACGGGGTCAGGGCTTAGTGGTGTGGAGGGGTCCCGGGCGACTGGGGGCGAGGCCTCACCTCAAACACGTGCAGCTCCTCCAGGAGCAGCCCCTCTGCGCTGGGCCTGCTGCCCTTGGGGACCGATATCACCTTCAGCACCGTGCCAGCGTCTGCAGGGATAAGAAGGCGTAATGACCATTGGTGGTCCCGGACAGCTGGGGCTCGGGTCTCCTCGCCTTTGAGGCATCTACCCTCAGCATGTTTGGGTTGTCAAGTGTGGACTGGAAGAGTGCAGGTTGGGCAGCATCCAGAAGGTGGAGACATAGCCCTGGAAAGGATGTGAAAATGGGACTGAGCAGGGAGAGCTTCCAGCAGCAGGCCACAGGACCTGGATGGGAGCCTGGGGGTCGCTGTGGAGGGGCCCTGACCTGTGCCAATGAAGAGGACGTCATAGTGTCCATCAGCGGCTGCAACCCGGTCCGCGGCAATTTGAGTGAAGGTGTAATTGGCTCCAACTTGTAGGAAAAGAGGCCGCCCCCCAATGGGCAGGACAGAGTTGTACATGAGGGGGTGGTTCCGTGCAAAATGGATGACATCGTCGGGGAAGTCCTTGGTGGAACTGAAGGTGCCAAAGGTCTTGCTGGGGCACTGAGGGTGGGGGGAAAGAAGACACAGCAGGGATATAGATATGGGGGCTTCATGAGCAGCCCTCCATGCCAAGCTTCTGGGAACATGGAGGGGGATGGGGACAGACCCTGCCCTGGGAATTTGAGAGAGGAGATGCAGCCTTGCCTTGGGAAGTCGGAGGTGGGGAAACAAACCTTGTTTTATGATGAAAACCTTTTCTCACCCATAACTAAAGGAAGAAACCACATTCACCAAGAAGGCCTCGGGCCAAGTTCTCAAACCCTTGAGGCTTTGAAGGGGTTGTGAAGTGGGTTGTGGCAGAAGTCTCTGGCCTACGCACCATGCCGGGCCGCGGGTAGGGGACGCGACCCTGGTATGACACCCACTGGTGCATGGGCCCCTCCTTATGTGCAAAAGGTCCCAGGAAGGCCCGGCGTACGTCGTTCATGCTGTACACGCACACCGCAGAGCCCTGGAAGATGCTGCTGTAGGCGAAGAACAGGGTGGTGGGGTGAGGGGCCGGGTGGAGCCCAGGCCTGCCCCAGGTGCTTTTTACCTCCTGCCCCTCACCTGGACGTGGAGAAGACGGCATAGAGTAGCGAGGTCCGGTGGTCCCGCGAGGACAGCAGAAACACATCCTCTGCGGGGAAGGGGCCTAGCTGGGGCAGGGCGCACAGCCCTGCTGCAGCGGGGGCTCCCGGAGTCTGCGCGCTGCCCCCCTCCCAACCCCATTCCCACTCCCGCACTCACGGAGCTGATCAAAGTGGGTGTCCCCCTCGACGCCGGGCACCGAGCACACCAGCCGCGCCTTCAGGAATGTCGTCCACTTGTTGACCAGACTGCGCTGGCCACCTACGTCGTTCTGCCGGACGAACAGAGGGGATGAGGGCAAGACCAGGGCGGGCAAAGAGGCAGGGGCAGGGCCGCAGGGTGTGGCCAGGGCCTCCTCACCCGGCAGATCTGGCCAACGCGGGACACCAACAGGCGTCCCATTGCTGGCGCTGCCTCCACCGCCGTCTCACGAAAGAAGAAGTAGATTTTGTCGTCATCTGGGTTCTCGCTCTCCGGGATCCAAAATACCTTGACAAACTTGGGCTCTGACCGCGGCAGGAGGTGTGAGTCAGCGGGTCCTGGCCTCGCCCCCGATACAAGACCCACGCGCTGCTTCCCCTTCCCGGAGCGCGGGCATAGCCCCTGGGGTCACAGTGTCTGACCACCCAACCTCTCGGACCACGTCTAGTTGGCGCTCTGGGCAAACCGAATCCTAAGGATCGGGGCCTACGAGGCAAGAAGCAGCCGCAAGGGGGCAGCAGAGACCGTGGCTACCTAGGCGCGCAGGGGGAAAGCCCAGCTGGCCTCCGATTTCGCCCCACACAGTGGCCCAGCACCACAGGCTGGGGTAGGAGGGAGATGGAGTAATCTGGTTTCACCTTCACTCGTGAATTGTCCTCCCTAGCATAACCAGATGCTCCCCACGCCTGCTTCAAATCCTTCTGCTGGGTCCCATTGCCCTTTATTTAATTTTATTTATTTAGTTTTTGGAGACGGAGTTTTGCTCTGTCGCACAGGCTGGAGTGCAGTGGCTTGGCTCACTGTAACCTCCGCCTCCTGGGTTCAAGAGATTCTCCTGCCTCAGCCTTTCGAGTAGCTGGGATTACAGGTGCACACCACCACGCTCAGCTAATTTTTGTATTTTTTGTAGAGACGGGGTTTCACCATGTTGGCCAGGCTGGTCTCTAACTCCAGACCTCAAGTGATCTGCCTGTCTTGGCCTCCCAAAGTGCTGGGATTACAGGTTTGAGTCACTGGGCCCACCAGCCCATAGTCCTTATTTAATTTTTATTTTATTTAGAGAGAGGGTCTGCTCTGTCCTGCAGTGGCAGCATCATGGCTCACTACAGCTGCCAACTCCTGGACTCAAGTGATCCTTCCATCTCAGCCTCCTGACTAGCCAGGACCACAGGTGTGTGCATGCCACTGCCCTCGGCTAATTTTTATTTTTTTGTAGAGACAGTATCTTGCTTTGTAGCCCAGGCTGGTATGAAACTCCTGGCTTCAAGCAATCTGCCTGCCTCAGCCTCCCAAAGTGCTGCCTCAGCCTCCCAAAGATTACAGGTGGGAGCCACTGTGCCCAGCCCCCATGGCTCTTATAATAAGTGACTCTGACCCCTGACAGTCCAGGCCCCCATCATTGCTAGCAAGTCTGTTCCTTTCTTGTTACTGCATCCAGGCCTTTGCACTAGTTGCTCCCTCTGCCTGGAATGCTCATCCCTGAATTTTGCTGGCTGGCTCTCTTGTACTTTGGGAATTAGCTCATACTCCCCTCAGCACAGCAGCTTCCTTTACCCAACCCCCTCCACCCACCCAGTCTCCTTTTCCCTTCCTCTCTTGTCTCTCTCTGGCCTCATGGCCATTGGACTTGATCCTATCACGTATGTGATCTGTGAACTCAAAAAGGGGTCAAAGAGGTCATACTTGTCTGTCTCTGTGACGCCAGTGCCTGATTAAGGTGGGTATTTGGTAAGACCTGGCTGCAACCACTGCTCACTTACTTTATGGGCCTTGCTTGGCACCCGCCCTGTGGGAGGATGACGGCCCCCTCCCACAGCCCCACCAGCCTCTCACCATTGAGCCAGCGGGAGTCGTGTGGCTCTGTTCGGAGACTTGGACGTTGGCCCAGGCTTCGAAAGATGGTAAAGTCTCGGCCCATGAGGTCTGCTGCCACCCCTGAGTATAGCTCCTCCCCTGCAGACAGGGCAAGGGCTGCTTAGCCAAGCAGAGGGCTCTTGGGGCAAGAAGGCCTGGGGAGCTCTGGGAGCTCTTAGGGAGTCAGTGAGGCTATGGGGGATCCCTGGAGCTCTTGGAGGTCTTGGAACTTTGTGAGGTTCTGGAGTTCCGCTCTGTTGCCCAGGCTGCAGTGGCATGATCTCGGCTCACTGCAACCTCCACCTCCCGTTCAAACAATTCTCCTGCCTCAGCCTCCTGAGTAGCTGGGACTGCAGGTTCGCACCACCACGTCCAGCTAATTTTTTTGTATTTTTAGTAGAAACGGGGTTTCACTGTTAGCCAGGATGGTCTCAATCTCCTGACCTCATGATCCACCCACCTCACCCTCCCAAAATGCTGGGATTATAGGCGTGAGCCACCGCGCCCAGCCAGTTCTGGAGTTTCTAAGGGATTCTGTTGGGGCCCTAGCCCTTGGACTCACCCACCAGCACAGAGGCAGCCCGATGCCTGGGGTCATAAGGACTCTTCCCCTTGCCATCCTCTATCCTTCCTGGGTCTAGCCGGAGCACAGGCTCCTGGGAGGTGGGGGAAGTTGTTACTACCAGGCCCTTCTTTTTTTTTTTTTTTGAGACGGAGTTTCGCTCTTGTTACCCAGGCTGGAGTGCAATGGCGCGATCTCGGCTCACCGCAACCTCCGCCTCCTGGGTTCAGGCAATTCTCCTGCCCCAGCCTCCTGAGTCGCTGGGATTACAGGCACGCGCCACCATGCCCAGCTAATTTTTTGTATTTTTAGTAGAGACGGGGTTTCACCATGTTGACCAGGATAGTCTCGATCTCTTGACCTCGTGATCCACCCGCCTCGGCCTCCCAAAGTGCTGGGATTACAGGCTTGAGCCACCACGCCCGGCCTACCAGGCCCTTCTTACCCTCCTGACCTCCCTCCCTGCCTAGATCCAGCCTTACCTCCGGCCAGTGGCCCACTTCCACAAAGGCACAAGTTGGGTGGAAGGCTCCCGTGCCACAGGCCAGCAAGTGGGTGTGGTTGTAGGCATGCAGCAACTTCACAAAGTTCATGCACTCAGTCTAGTAGGGTAGGAGGTATGAGGTTTCCCCCAGGGACGTGGCCTTAAGAGGTCCCAGCTCATCAGTGGCATCTTCATCCCTCCCTCTCTTCTGCATCGGCCTAGGCAAATGCTAACATGGGCTACAGGGACCTGGGGGCCCTTGCTGACCAGCCCAGCCTCACCGGGGTGGGTGTCTGGGGAAGGACATGCCTGCAAAGCCTCCCATGACTCAGAGGCTCCCCAAGAAGAATTACATGATCCCCCACCCTGACTCACCACCCCCAGACCTCAGCCACCTCAACCTCCCTGCCTTCATCCCAGCCAGAACAGGCAGGCCTCTGTTTTAGCCCTGCCCTGTCTCTGGGGTGAGGGGCCAACCCTCCCCATTCCCTGCCTGGGCAGCTGGCACTCACACCAATGTCCTTCCCTGCCCAGTTGCACTCTTCTCGCCATTCCACAGGGGCCGGCCAGGCCAGCTATGGGGAGGTGGGGGGAGAGGGGACACAGGTCAGGGACTTGGGATTTCTCTATCTCAGGGGGCCCATTCCCCTGAGTCTTTCCAGGCAGGCTGGAGTGGGGTCTTAGGGCTCCTTCCCTGGGCAGTGCTGGGGTTGGGAGTCCCTGGCACCTTCTTGGCCTGTTTGCTGATGTTGTCCAGGCTGAGAGAGGCCACATGGTTCTCGGCGCCCACAAACAGACGTCCACGCTCCTCATCCACCAGCAAGGCCTCATAGCAGCAGGTCCGCTCCAGGCTGAAAGTCTGGAGACCATGCCAGGCCTGGAGCTCTGCAGGGTGGGACACTGCTGAGGACTCACCAGCCATGCTAGAGGCCTCCCCCAGGTCCTGCCTAGTGGTGGCTTTATGGGCCAAGGTTGTCCTTAGGGCCTGGCCCTAAGGACATGTAAGTTTCCATGTGTGTCAGTTTACACACTCAAAGCCAAGCCCACCCAGGTGCACGTATGGAGCAGCCAGGGTGGGCGGTAACCCCCAGGAAGAGGAAAGCAGGTTGAACTTGGGCATGCTTAGACAGGTGGTGACTCCAGGTGGGCACACTGGGAGGCCAGGCTCATGGACACCAGAGTCCTGGGGGAGACCAGCATGCAGGGATGGCCAGAACCCCAACTCCCGAAAGTCAGGCTGAGCTCACCACCAGCCTGAGCTCAGCAGAACTGCCTATTCACTGCCACTGCCCAGGGGCCACCCTTCAGTACCGGGGGCTCTGACTTCCCTGTTGCTCAGCTGAAGGCATATGGCCTGGTTGGGGTTACTGAATGGAACAGAGACAAGGTCTGTTGCTACGGGGACAGGCAGGGTCTTCCTGAGAAGGCACGAGGAGAATGTGGGCAGAGGCTGGGGACTAAGGCCCGGACAGGGTTAACTGGAGGTAGCCTGAGAGTACCCACTAATCCCACCAGAGTCTGGTGACAGGCACGCACATGGGGCAACAGCCAACACAGAGCCCCCTGGCCACTTTGGGACCCTTTCCTGCCCACCTCAAGCTGGGCCCTCCCACCTGCCAGGTGCACCTACCTTGGAAGGAGAGCCGAAGGCGTGGGGGGCTGGGGGCAACACCCCCCACCCCCACTGCCCAGAGCAGGGCCAGGCCCGGGATCATGGCGGCGGCCCCGGCCCGCCCCATCCCAGCAGCTCAGGGCGCTCAGGGTTCAGCGAGTGTGTGTGTGTGGAGGAGCCTTGAGCTGCCCTGGACTCTGCCCCAGGATCTGGAAGAGAAGTAGTCGGCAGAGAGGGCAGGAGGCTAGGGGGGAGGTCCCCAGGGATCAGATTACAGCCCCTCGGGGAAAGAGGCTGGGGGGGTCTCATTCCACTTCCGAACCCTTCCCTCCAAGGGTGCCCCGCCTGGCCACGATCACAGACACACCCACACCACCAGGCACACCCTCAGGGTCACCCTGCACTGGCAGTCCCGCCTCACCACGTCACCCTCCCCAGTAACCTCCCCTCTCGCATACACACTTACAGACATTAATTCACAATGTGCACCCACTTCATGCCAGCCTCGGCCTGAGAGGAGGAATACTGGGAGACATAGACAAGGTCCCATGTGAGAGGGGACAGAGTGCCAACAAGGAATCGGATGGGCGCAGAGGATGCCAAGTGCAATGAGCAAAACAAGCCAGTCAAGAGAGCAGGAGTGACAGGAGGGGGTCAGGCTCTGGAGGTGGCGGTGCCCCCACAGTCCCACAGGGAAACAGAGGCACTTTTGGGACTGGAGCCAAGTGTGTGGGTGCCTGTGAATGTGAATGTGTTTCTGAGTGTCCCCTTGTGGTGTGTGCATATGTAGTGTGCTTGCACATGTGTGTGCACATGTGTACATGTCTGCAAATGTATAGTATGTGTCATATTGCACATGTGTAGATATGTTAGTGTGCACACGCATGTGGCACTGTGCAATCTATGCGGTGCATGTGTGCAATATGTGCATATTTTGCACACGTGTCACACATTTGTGTCTGTGCAAGTGAGCATGCACACTGGGCATGCAAGTGAGCAAATCCAACTGCAGCATCAATCACTCCAATTCTATGACTCCTATTCCTTAGAGGGAGAAGTGCTACTCAGGAGACCCAAGACCCGGGCAGAAGCCTCAGCCTCTGACTTGGGGACTGGTCCCACCCAACCCAGCTGAAGCAGCCTCTGCGTTTGAGCTTGAGGGCTCTCTCTCCATACCTCTGAGGAATCAGGGAGGGGCAAGGTGAGGCAGCCTGTCACTCGCACCCCAGCCTCCTGGCCTTGCTCAGCTGTCACTCAACACCTCCACCGCCTCTCTGAGACCCTCCCTCCACTTCTCTCGGCCCTCAAGGTTTCCCCGTCTTTGAGACTCTTCACACTAGAAACCAGATACCTCCCCTTGGCCCTCAGCTGGGGCCAAGACCTGGCTGCTATGCCCACCCTCCCCTGGAGCCAGCTGGGCAGGTGCTGGACATAGGAGCCCGGAGAGTGGGGCAAACCTCAAGGTGGGATTAAGCAAGGGGAGCAGCTGCTGGGGCAGGCTCCAGCCCCTCCACCCACTCTCCTGCCCAGCTCCCCAGCTCCTGGCCCCCTCCCAGGACAGGACCCCCACCTCCCTCCTTCCACCCCCACCCCCCGGACACTTGCCACTGCCTCTTCTCAGGCTCTAGAGGTCTTCCAGGCCAACGCCAGGTGTCTTTCCACACTCCACCGAGGACTCCTACAGCAGCACCTCTCCACTCTGGCCCCTTCCTGCCCTAGGGCCGCAGGGGACCCTCTGACGGCTCCTTTAAGGAGCAGCCCCCGCCCCCACCAGGCCAGCCACCGCCCCACGCGCCGCGCGTAAAGTTTAGAGGGCGGATCGGGTGACCGGGCAGGCAGCCGGGACCGGCTGGAGACGGCAGCCAGGCGGGAGTGGAATGGGTGAATGGGCACAACGGAGGGGATAGTAGGGGAGACCCCTCCCCTGTTGGGCCTCAAGGCAGAAGGGTGCCATAAGCGGCGGTCCCAAGAAGCCAGGTGGCCAGCCAAGAAAAGGGAGGAAGAAGGCCCCAGCTCCTGGGGCTCTGCAGGCAAAGGAAATCACAGGGTGGGGGCACTCCTCAAGACTCCAGTATCTCACCTGTCCCTCTACAGCTGGGGAGCTATGGAGAGAGATCATGGGGAGCTCAGCTGCCACCTCAGTTCCCAGGGACCAGCTGGGGTGGGCGGGCAGCCAGAGCTCAGGGGAGGGGCTCTCAACTGGAAGTCTGATGAGCCCTCAGGACTCAGCCCTGTCCTTCCTCACCACTTGGCCACTTAGTATTTCAGCAGCCTGGCCAGCAGTGGCTTCTTCCATGACAGCCAGGTGGGGGAGGGAAAGGAGGACAGGAAAGGGGCAGATGCAGGAGGAGCAGGAAATCTCACTTCTGCACCACAAGGTGGGGCCAATCCGGAGTCTCCCAACCTGGACAGGTGGCTCTACATCTCTGCTGAGAGGTTAGGGGGCGGACTATGTGACCTCCCTTCCTCTGGCCTCTCTTCCTAGGTTGGAGGTGGGAGGAACAACCCCCACCAAACCCAGAGCTAAACCCTGAAGGAGTTTTACAGACAGGATGGGGCTCTGGCACCTCGGAGCCTCAGTTGGGAATGACCTGGAGTCTTGTCCTGAAGCTGAGTCTGGTGAACGTGCCCCATTTGTAGGATGAGGGGTACTTTTCTGGAGAGACTGAATGTTGACAGTGGCATAGTGGACCCCTTAGGTTGACCTGAGTGAATATACCGGGGCTTAAGAATGGGCTTTGAAGCCGGGCGCGGTGGCTCAAGCCTGTAATCCCAGCACTTTGGGAGGCCGAGGCGGGTGGATCACGAGGTCAAGAGATCGAGACCATCCTGTTCAACATGGTGAAAACCCGTCTCTACTAAAAATACAAAAAATTAGCTGGGCATGGTGGCGCGTGCCTGTAATCCCAGCGACTCAGGAGCCTGGGGCAGGAGAATTGCCTGAACCTGGGAGGCTGAGGTTGCGGTGAGCCGAGATCGCGCCATTGCACTCCAGCCTGGGTAACAAGAGCGAAACTCCGTCTCAAAAAAAAAAAAAAAAAAAAAGAATGGGCTTTGATCCTTCAATCCCCACAAAAGGCATTCTCCTACCACTTCCCAAGACTGATGGGACAGTGTGGGCACTTTAAGTGAGCAGTTCTGTTGTCCAGCCCTGGATACTTCCAGCCAAGCAGGGACAGAGGTGGGGGGAACATCAGTAAGTCCCCTGGAAGTGGAAGTGGGGCCATCCCCCGCCTCCCTGAGCCTGAGGACCTGGTGTTCCCAGCCTGGCCTGTCCAGCTGGCAGGTGAATAACAGGGACCAGTAGGAGCAGCAGGGCCCTTCAGCAAGGCAAGTGGAAGGACAGATACCTGCCTGGGATCATGGGTTTCCTGGATGCAGCCTTTTCCTACCAGGACTAGCTGCCTCTGGCCTTGGACCTGGGTAGGCTCTCCTGGCCCCATGCAAGCAAACAACATTCTTGGGCTGTTTACAGCTTTCCACCCCAGCAGCCAGGATCAGCAAGTGCCTTGGAGGCCCCCATCCACTCCCACTGTGCTCCCATCGGCCCTCACTGCCTTCAGTTCTCCAAGCCCAGGGGCCTGGTCTCTGTTTCATCACCTCTGCACCCTCCTCCACCAGCCCTGTGTTCGCTCTGGGAAACGGAATCAGGACCCCCCATTATCTTTCCAATAGCCTGGATTCAACCCCCAGCCAAAAGGACTGGGCTGCCTCTGTCCCCCTTGAGTGCTGTGCCCTGCTCTGTGTCCTCTAGACATGTCCCCTCCCTTGAGTAGGAATGGAAGTCCCCAGGGATGGGAGGTCAGGTTGTCCCTGATTCCACATGGTCCCCCTTCTGTTCCTCGGCCCCAGGTCCAGTGTGCCAGGCCATGGATAGGGGCCCCCATGGAGGCCAGCACTCCAGCAAGGAGCAGGGCCACTGCCTGTGGGTCACACTGGGGCCTGGAAGGCCTCGAGGATTCTGGAATCAGGCAGCCTGGGCCTGGGTCTTAACAGAATGGGGCAAACCAGGGGAGGCAGCTGGGGTCCCTTTTCTTGCCTGTACTACTGCCCTTGGTCTATGTCTTTTGAGGGCGCTTCAGTGGTCAGAGGCCTGCCTGGGTTCTTGCTCTAGGGCTGCCTGTCAGTGGCATGGCCTATCATAGTCTTGGCTTTTCCTTCTGGAAAAACCTGGATTGTTGTGCCAAATCTGAGCACCTGTCTCCCCACCCCTGGCCACCAACTGGGCCTGCCCCTTTGCCCCTGCCTGGACTCCGGGTGGTGCGGCTGGAGTGGGACGTCCATCTGAGGAAGGCTGTGCCAACCCTCCCAGTGCCCAGCCTGGGCTGGATGGGATCTTGGGCGCCTCACTTACACCTGCTTTAGTCATCAGGGCCGGTGGCTCCAACATCATAACTCTTCCTTGTTTTGGTCACGTGGGTAGCAGGTCATGCTGCCCAAAGGACTTAGGAATGGTGGGGGCAGGCGTGGGCGGCCATAGGAGCATCACCTGAGACCTCACTTCCCAGACAATAAGGCCCTGCCCTAGGCGCATCTGCTGGGGAAACGGTTGCAGGCATGTCCTCACCCCAGCCTGGTCTCCATATTTCCAGGGAACCCTGGCCCACCTTTTTTGAAAGATTAGCTCCTCCCCTCCTGGCCTGTTCCCCTTCCCTTCTGAGGACCCTGTCAGAACTGAGATGGAGGTGCCGAGGGAGGGGCTACCAAGAACCCTGGGCCTTTGGCTGTGGCCCTACCCCCACCCGCCCCACCCCTAACCCCTCCCTCCTGCACATTCCTCCAAGGCTGAGGTCAGCCCCTCTGGGATACAGGAGCCCCCCCCACTACCAGCCACATCACAGCTCTTCGCTCACTCCTGTTTTCCTCATTGCCCAGCAGGGAGGGGTGGGAGGACAGGGGGCTGGGGGCGGGGCCTCCCTCTCCCTCCCTCCTCCGGAGCCAGGCAGGGTGGAAGGGGCTGTGCCAGGAATGCTGGAAAGTGGACTCTGAGGGCACACTGCACTCATGAACAGACATTCATATAAATACTACATTCTCCTAACTGGCTAGGGAAGAGCCTCCCAGGAGTGCTGGGTGAGGGGCTCTGAATGCTCTGGGGAGGGCTGGGGAGTCTGGAGTCAGCCTCAGCAATCAACCCCCTTGTAAGTCTAGCGGGAGGCGGGGTTGAATCCCCACACTGTCGGCTCACTGGGCCGCTTGGTGGCCCTAGCTGGAGTCTGCACCTCCCATTTTCTCTGCAGCTGCAGACGGTGGCCAGGCAGGTCTGGCACACAGTGGGGGTACCACAAGTGTGCACTCTTGCTGCCACCTCAGCTCTGGGCATCTTGGGCACCCAGGCCTATGAGGGCCTCAGAGAAATCCTGCACTGCTGCCTCTTCCATCCCAGCTGAACAAGGCTCCTTCTCAAGCTCAGCTTCTCTCTTGTCCCTTTTTGTTGTGCCCCTCAGGCCAGTATTTTTTTTTTTTTTTTTTTTTTTTTTTGAGACAGGATCTTGCTTTGTCAACCAGGCTGCAGTGCAGTGGCAGGCAGGATCATGGCTTATGGCAGCCTCGACTTCCTGAGTTCAAGTGATCCTCCCACCTCAACCTCCCGTGTAGCTGGGACTACAGGCACATGCCACCATGCCTAGCTAATTTTTTTTTTTTTGGTAGAGATGAGGTTTTTGCCATGTTGCCCAGGCTGGTCTTGAACTCCTGGGCTCAAGCAATCCTCCTGTCTTGGCCTCTCAAAGTGCTGGGATTACAGAACTGAGTCACCATGACTGGCCACCTCAGTACAATTACTTCCTCAACCCTCTGACCCCTGTGCCCAGGGCTCTACTCAAATCTCCCTCCCTCCCCTAGGTGGAGGCTCCTCAGTCTTCTCACTTCCCAAGTCTCCAGCCCATCCCAGGCACTGTTAAGCCTGCCCTCCTGAGAGCCCCTACCTTCTGTCTTAGGACAAGCACTAACCCCTTTACCCTCCCCCAGGCTGTATCCCTGGGGTCATTCTGCCACTTCTCTCCCCATGCCTCCCCTCTGAAGGACCCTGTCCCCCACTCCTGACTCAGCATGCTAAGTTTAAGGGGATTGCAGGCTCTTAGCCACAGGGCCACTCTCTTTTTCGTCCTTTTTTTTTTTTTTTGAGACAGGATCTTGCTTTGTCACCCAGGCTGGAATGCAGTGGCAGGATCATGGCTCACAGAAGCCTTGACCTCCTGAGCTCAGGTGATCCTCCCACCTCAGCCTCCAGAGGAACTGGGACTACAGGCACATGCCACCAGCTAATTTTTGTATTTTTGTTGTAAAAATGGGGGTCTCACTATGTTGCCCAGGCTGATCTTGAACTCCTGGGTTCAAGTTATCCTCCTGCCTCAGCCTCCCAACGTATTGGGATTATAGGCCTGAGCCACCACGCTGGGCCCACAGGATGACTCTGTGGCTTGGCGGGGCCAGTCTTCCAGTGCTCCACCTGCCCCATTTCTGGGATGCGTCAGCACTTTTGTTGCCAAGACTTTGCTTGGGCTATGCCTGCCACCTTTTACACCCTTCTCCTTGTCACCTGCTGGACAACTCCTCACTGTTCATGATCCACCTTGGCTGTCACCCATTTTCTGTGAAACTCCAGACCCCGGTGGTGCCAGGTTCAAGCCTCTGGCCAGGGCTCTGGGTTCCCCACTGTGGGGGAAGCAGCAAGGGCTATAATACTGGAGACCCCAGGACCCAGCAGAGGACAGGCACAGGGAGGCAGGAGATGGTGTGCCCACAGGAAGCCCTTCCACCTTTCTTTTAAAAAAAAAAAAAATTTTTTTTTAAATAAAAAATTTTTTTTCACAAAGACGGGGTTTCACCATGTTGGTCAGGTTGGTCTTGAACTCCCGACCTCAGGTGATCCACCCACCTTGGCCTCCAAAGTGCTTGGATTACAGGCGTGAACCACCACGCCCGGCCTTTTAAATATTTTTTAAATTAAAAATTTCTTTTCACAAGCCCTTCCACCTTCCTAGGCATGCTGAGTCTCCATGGGGGTAGGGCATGGATGGAGAATGGACACCCCTTAACTCTGTCCCAGTCCCCCAGGCCTTGACTACCCTAACCTCAGTAAGGTCAGAAAGCAGAAGGCAATGGGACGAGATGTCAAACTGATTTTTCTCCCAACCAAGAGCACCAGGGGCTGTGGGACTGCATCTCAGGCAAGGGGATGAAAGGACCCATGGCCTTGACTTCTGCTCCTCTTGGATATTAGCACCCATCACCGTGTGACGAGGGCTGAGTGGCTGCCAGGCATGGAAACATTTGCTGCCTCATAGTGCATACATATTCCAGCTGACTGGAGGCTGGCCCCCTGGGTGATGAGAGGTGCTGCCTTCCCTCTGGGAGTCCATGGTAGGGATGGGGATCACTAAGATCTTTTGTTTTGGAGGTCAGGCCTGGCTCGGTGGCTCAAGCCTGTAATCCCAGCACTTTGGGAGACTGAGGCGGGCAGATCACCTAAGGTCAGGAGTTCAAGACCAGCCTGGCCAAAATGGTGAAACCCCCATCTCTACTAAAAATACAAAAATTGGCCAGGCATGCTGGTACATGCCTGTAATCTCAGCTACTCAGGAGGCTGAGGCAAGAGAATTGCTTGAACCTGGGAGGCAGAGGTTGCAGTGAGCCGAGATCATGCCACTGTACTCCAGCATGGGTGACAGCAAGATTTGGTCTAAAAAAAAAAAAGAGAGATGGGGTCTTGCTATGTTGCCCAGGCTGGTCTCAAACTTCTGGCCTCAAGTGATCCTCCTGCTTTGGCCTCCCAAAGTGCTGGGATTACAAACATGAGCCACTACATCCAGCAAGGGTCTCTTTTTAGGGTAGCAGACGCAGAGTTTGGGGTCAGTTCTAGGATGTGGGGCCAGATTCAGAACCCAACTAAGCAATGCTGTAATCTTGTCCTTGCCCCCTCCCTGACTCCCAGGGTTGTTAGGACTTGTTTGGCCATGCCACTGACCAGGCAGCTGGAGTCAGGGCTTGTATTCACCACCAAACTAGTTTGGCACTCAGTTTGGGTGCGGTAGGGTGAAATGATTCTGGGGAACTGAGAGGAGTAAGTTTTCCTGACATCAGAAACCATGGGGCTCCCTGGAACATGGTGGGAGTTCTTCCAGGCCTAGCTGTCTGCACCTCAGTGATCCTAGCTCTAATCCTGGAGAGGGCCCTTTCCCTCTTCTGCAACTGGCATTTGGGTCTGCACCTACCTGCTGGGACACAGGGTGGTACGGGCTGTGTCTAGGGCTGGGGAACTACTGAGGCGGCCTGCCTGGCTCCTCCTTACAGGGTTTCCTATACTCTTCTCTCTCAGCCCTCTCTGACCCTGAAAGCTTGCCTCTCTCTTCCCAGCTGTTCCTGTACCCCCCAAATGGGTTAAAAATACCAAAGTTCCCACCACATCAGTAGCCAGAGCAATTATTTCAAGTGGGCCAGGCCCTCTGGGAAGCAGATCAGCTTCATGGCGGTCTCCACAGGCTGGAGACAACCCACCCCACGCTAGGAGCATATGAGCTTGGGTCCCTGCCCAGCTCTGCATGTTCTGCTAAGGGTCCTGGGCCTCACAGCTGCAGCTGCCCATGGGTGGAGACAGAAGGATGGGGCTTCTTAGGTTGGAGGGCTCTGGGGATGCAGGGCCAGGGGCACTGAATCTCTGGCTGTCCTCACCCAGCCGTTCCTGAGGGTTGATGAATGGCTGAGGTCCAGCCTGGGACAGCTCCAGGCAGTGGGGGATATTCAGGAGCCAATCTCATGGGGTCCCTTCAGTTGGGGTGCAGGACACCTGGGCAGCCCCTCCCTGCCTCCAGCCCCCCATGGCTGGGAATTTCCCAACCACCAAACACAAGGCCGAATTGACAGGCCACCTCCGCCACTGCTGGGACAATGGAGCCTTATGCCCTGGAAATTCGAGCCTGGGTGGGAGGCCGGGGCAGGTGGAGGGAGGCCTAGCTGTCTGCATTCAGGGAAGCCCTGCCCCCAGGATCCCACCCAGACTCACTGCCAAGACAGCAACCAGGGCCATCCTGCCAGGGCTCCGCATGGCCCACCCAGGGAGGGAGGCACTTAGTGAGTTAGGCAGACAATGCCAGCCCCTCAATGGTCCCTCTGTGCAGGGTCCCCCTCAGGACAGAAGGAAGAAACCATCTCCCGCCCGCTTCCTGCTGGGCGGGCATCTGGGCTCTGGCGCTCCTGCCGGCGCATTTGCAGCCCAGCGGGGTGCAGGCCTGGGCCTCTGAAGGAAGGCGGGGACCTGGCTTGGGCGCAGAATCCTGTTCTCCGTGTCGTCGGCCCTCGCAGGCTGGGGCAGCAGGAAAGGCCCGAGGAACTGGGGCGGGGACCGGGCTTGGGGGGCGCCGATGTCCTTCCGACCGGGCGGCAGCAGCCTCTCATCTCCTGCCAGTGCCCGGGGCCGACGCCGCGAGACACTGGCAGGTGTGCGGGGGCGGGGTCCAGGGTCTCCGGCTCAACCCTGCCTCCCCGCCTCTGCGGCGCCGACCCCGGCCCGCCCCCTCTGCCCAGGCCGCTCTGTCTCGGGGCGGCTGCGGAGCCGTCGCCGCCTTACAAAGCTGCCTTTATGTCCAGCGGCCTCCGCGGGACCCGCTGACGTCAGTCTGCGTGACCAGCCCGGCGGGGCCCAGCGCGGGCGGCGGGGCCCCCTGGTGGCCGGAGTCGGAGGCGCCAACCCTGGAGCCCCACCCAGTCGAGGCCGGCCTTTCCCCAAGTCCGCCCCATACGTTGAGGCCATGGCTGCCCCTGCTGCCCTTGGGAGAAGGTCCAGGTGCCTCGATGACACTCAAGGCCCGCCCCAGAAGCATCACTGGCCTTGCCACCTGCAGTTCCCTTCCCCAGCAATGCACGGGCCCTTCCCGCAGCCTCCACCTTCACAGCCCTCCACCTTCAGAGCCATTGACCCGCATGCAGCCCCAGCACGTGGCAGCCATCACATGGATCTGTGGCTGTCTGTCACTACCCCTCAGGTTTGGCGGGGTCCCTCTGGAGCAGGGACCTTTCTGAATATGTTCTGAATATGTCAAGGCCCCTACTCGTCTTCTGTGTAGGCAAGGCAGGACTACACACAGCCCACCTGGCAGTGTGACGTTGGCAACTCTGGGGCTTGGTACCTAAGTTGGAAGTGCTACTTTTTCCGTCTGCACTAGAGGCTTGCTGGCCACCCCTCCTGCTCCGGTGTAAAAGAGCACCTTAGAACAGCTCCCCAGGAAGCCTGCCCAGCTGCCCCAGACCTAAGGCTGCAGAGTGCTGGGAAGATGGGGACACACAGGCCCCACATGTATGCTGCCTAGGCCAGGTAGGAGAAGTGAAACCCAGAGCGTTGGACTCCAGGACGGCCTGGAAAGCTGAGCTGAGTGTTAGGGCCCTGCCCCAGGTTGAGGACTGAGGTTGGGACCACCATCACTTTGGCACACCTTAGCCTGGGCCTCTGCCTCTGGGAGAGAATACCCATAAGTTCTCGGTATTTTTTTTCTTTCTACATTTTATTATTTCAAACCAGGTGAACAATTCCATAAAACATGTGAAAAAAAGCAAGGAAGTGTTCAACGCTGAAGGCCCCGGGCCTGGGACGAGGGCATGAGGGGCGTGGCCCCCCAGCAGGCAGCGGCGGTTCCTAGGTTAGCGCTAAGGAGCTACATTTAGGTTAATGGAGCCTGGGCCCAGGGCCGCTGGGGCAGGGCCCTCAGTGACGTTGGCAGTTGTCTGGAACAGCCCTTGGAACCCAATTCTGTGGAGGGCAGGGCAGGGGTGCCGCTCACACAGGGGCGGCCAGCAGAGGGATGGGTGTAAACACGCAGACACACTCAAGGCACGGAGTCACTTGGAAGGGGGGCTGAGGGGGCTGCTGGTCAGGATCTGATAGTTTTAAATAGTTTTTCTCTAAAAAGTTTTCTAGATTTGCGTTTTTTTTTTTTTTTTTTTCCTTTACTTTCATTTTTTTAAAAAGCTACGAGAATGAGCAGGTGGACTGTGGTCTCCAGGAATGGTGGCGTCTCACGCTTCTTGTGCTTTTTCCTTTGGGGCCTCCAAGCGGCTGGGGGGTGGGGAACTGGGCAGGAGGCTCCCTGTAAACATTTGGACTTAGGCTGGGGCAGGGGCTGGTGTTGGGCAAAGCTGGGGGTCCAGGCTGGAGAAGCAGGGGCTCCTCCAGATGCAACCTTGGGAGACTCAGCATGTGCTCCCCCACCCCCATCACAGAACAAGACAATGGTTAAAACCCAGAACAGATGCCCAGAAAGGGGGTACCATGGCCATTACCGGCACCTCAGACAAGGGCAGGCTTCAAACAGGGAGGCCTGTGGCAACCCCTCCCCTAAGTCTGGAGCTGAGGGGACGGGGGAGCTGAGAACAAAGGGAGGAAAGAGGAGAAAAGCGGCTGGGGGAACAGGCGGGGAGCGTGGTCTTCTTGCCCCCATCTTCCTCAGGGGTTGAGGGTACAGAGTCAGCGGTGGCCCTGGAGGTGGGAGACAGCACAGCATGGATGGGGAAGCAGCCAGGGCGTGCCTCTCCTCCCACCTCCCTAGACAATGACCCTTCTCCATTTTTCCCACCCATTTGTTACCAGGGACACAGTTACCGCCCAGGAGCCAGTTTCTGTTGCTGGGTTACGTGGGGGAGGGGAGTCTGTGGCACTGGGAGAGTCATCCCCACCTCCACCAGGGACAGTGGGGCCAGCCTAAGCCCAGGACGCTCAGATAGGTCCTAGGGTAAGAGCTAGAGGTGCACACAGAGCTGGTGGTAGTGGGCAGCAGGGCTGGGCTCCGCTGGCCTCCAGCTTCTGGCAGTCTGGGCCAATGGCCTGGTGGGTGAGGAGGTGAGATTTCTCTAGAGAACATCACAAAGGCCTTTGATTCTGTCCCAGGGCAAGACCAGACCCTTCTGTCCGGATCACTGGGCCAGGCCTGCTTCTATGACCTCCTCCATGCCCTGCACCCCCGCTAACTTGACCTCCTGATTCCTGTGCCTCCCTTGTTCCCTAGTCACCTACTGCCCTTCCCGCTCCAGGCCCCCTCCCCTGTGCCACTGGGGCTCCAGGCCTGCTTAGTTCTTTACCAGCTCCCTGTCTCAGCCCCTCTGGCTCACCATCCTGCCAGGCCCTGCTGCCCCTCAGAAGAGGCCGCAGTCCTTCAGGTTGTTCTTGATAATGACGTCGGTGACGGCGTCAAACACAAACTGCACGTTCTTGGTGTCGGTGGCGCATGTGAAGTGCGTGTAGATCTCCTTGGTGTCTTTGCGCTTATTCAGGTCCTCAAACTTACTCTGGATGTAGCTGGCTGCCTCATCATACTTGTTGGCCCCTGAGGGAGAGAAAATGGTGATGACTTGTGCTGCACGTGTGGTGGGCAGGCCCCAGCCTACATGTGCAGCAAGGCAGGGCTCTCTGTGTGTGGATAGGCAGGCACACAACATGTGCACGCATGTGCATAAAATGACGATGTGTGCAGCTGCCCATACAAGCCTGATGTGCAAAGGGGTACCCAACTGTGTGAAGGAGGATGCCGATGTGCACATGTTCGGGGTACAAGCTTGAGTTAAGGGCTCCATGTGTACACACACAACTATACAAGCCTAAGTGAAGCACCTGCCCCTGCAAGTGTCCCAAGGTTACACTTCCGTCCAGTAGGGGGCGCCTGAGGGCCACCTGGTCACCACTGGCTACTCGGGACAGGCAGCAACCCTCTGGAGGCCCTATCCCTACAGTCCCCACACCTGTGTACTCAGGAAAGCAGATGACCAGGGGACTGTGTGTGATCTTCTCCTCGAACAGGTCCTTCTTATTGAGGAAGAGGATGATAGACGTGTCTGTGAACCACTTGTTGTTGCAGATGCTGTCGAATAGCTTCATGCTCTCATGCATGCGGTTCTGGGGACAGAATAGCAAGGTCAACACCAGCCACCGCTCCCCATACCCGCTGCCCCCACGCGCAGCAGTCTCTCACCATCTCCTCATCCTCAGCTAGCACCAAGTCATAGGCACTCAATGCTACGCAGAAGATGATGGCTGTGACGCCCTCAAAGCAGTGGATCCACTTCTTTCGCTCAGACCGCTGACCACCCACATCAAACATCCTGTGGATATACGATCACCTTAGCTCCAGGAAGGGAGCCCCGGGGGAGGCTTTCTGCCCTATTTCCCAAGTTGGCAGACTGAGGACAGAGGCCTGCCCAGAGTGGGCCAGCTACCTTCTGGAATCATCCACAATTGCCGACCTCACCCCTGGTTCTGGATCAGGGGCCTGGACAGCAGGCAGGCTGCAAGCAGCTGGCAGAGGTGGCGTGGATCCTGACTGCTGCTTCAGTAGGTGGTGAGGATGTGCTTGCCCAGAACACGTGAGTCTTGCAAAACCTCAGTGGGGCTGGGGGATCCTGGACCAGCCCCTGCCTCTGCTACCCCAAAGGCTGGCAGGTCCTGCCCCTCCCACCTATCCACATGCTCGCTTACTTGAAGTGTAAGTCCTTGAAGGTGAAGTGTGTCTCCACGATCCCCGTGGTCTTTACGCGGGTCCGTAGCACATCTTGCTGCGTGGGGATGTAGTCACTCTGTGCAATGCGCTCCAGGTCATTCAGGTAGCTGGGGGTGGGTTTGGGAGGGTCAGTGTGGGCCAGCGTGCGGCCTCCTTACTGGACCCTGGGCCAGCTGAAAGAGGCCCCTTCTCTCCCATGCTATTTCTCAGGCAAAATCCTTGCTGCTTTAACTCCTGCCTGCATTACCTCATCGCTCAAATGAAGAAACCTGAACTCAGAGCCCCTGGCCTCCCCGTTGTGGAATGGGAATGGAAGGAGGTGCAGCTCTGTGGCCAGCTAGCCAGCCAACCTTCAGCACCCAGGGTCTGAGCCAGGCCTGCCTCAGACAGGATCCAGGATCTGGTGCTACAGGCAAAGGGGGTGGGTGGGGGCAAATTAGTCCTTCAGTGAAGGATTCAGGATGCTAATCGGCGCAATTATGGCACCAGCCGCAGAGCAGCCTGGTGTGGTCCCTCGATGTGGGGCTGGACAGGTTGGGGCCTGCCAGGCCCAATGGGCTCTTTGCCCAGCACCCAATGAAGTCTGGGCTCCTCAGGGGGAGGGCACAGGCACCTGCTTGGCAAGGGTCCCAGGGGCTCCTCATTACCAGCTCCCTTAATTAGTATGAAAGCTGCCCCTACAGGACCCTGCTCTGCTGCCTGCCTCAATATCCCTGCCATGCCCTAGAGGCTGGTTCCAGGCTTACAGGCTGCTGCCCTGGGCCGACTTCTCGTTCCTGGGGCAAGGCTGCTGGGGCCAGCCCTTAGCTTCCACCAGCAGCCAGGCCAAACCAGGCCAGAGGGAAATGATCTCAGAGTAGCAGGGACAAAACAGAAAAACAGGAAGGGCCATGGGGAACCATGACGCGTGTGCTGTGACCCACATACATGCCCTGCCCCCTACTGCCAGAACCTTCAGCGTGGAGGCACCATGGTGCATGCCACACCAGCCTCTCCCTTCTCCCCAACAGGCAGGTTCACCCCAGGGACCCCCTGCCTCACTGCAGTCATGGAGGGTTGCTGTGAAGAGGGGCTGGAGGAGCCCTACTCCCTGTGGTGTTCCAATCTGCAACCCCTTCCCCTTAGGGAACCTGTCACAGCATAAACCAACCTGGGAGAGCAGGCCCTGTGTTCACTCCCAAATCTCTACTCCCAAAACTGCTGGGCACACAGTGGGTGCCTAATGCCTGGAGAATGGAGAAACAGGGTGATAGAGAAGTGGGAGGTGGCCTGGAGGTTGCTATATCCCTGGTTCCCTTTGAGTATCATGGGCACCAAGGTCCCTGACTCTCTGACCCTCAAGCTCTGCTGGTGGCTGGGCCCATGATCCCAGGGAGGGGCAGTGCTGAGGCCTGCGGGTCCCCACAGCATTTGGCTGTGACTCCACAACTCCTGTAGGGGGAACATATTCACAAGAGCATTCAGGCCATGTAAGGAGGGTAGGGGGAGGCTGTTCATGTGGCTGAGGCAGGGCTTAGGAATCAGAGCCAGGCAAGACCCTCCTCCTCCCACCTCTGGGGGGGCTCAGGATTGGATGAGCAACAGGAGCAAAAGGGTGTTCCAGACAGAGGGGACTGGTGTAAGCAGAGATGGGGAGGTTAGAGTACAGGAACAACAGCCTATCTGGTGACACCATCCAAAGCCTGTGGATATCTCCTGCAGCCATCCTCAATGGCTAAATTTCTGTCTGTCCTGTTCCCCATGGGGTCCTCAGCACCCTGCACCCGTCCAAGCACATGGCAGATACCACAGAGAAGGAGTTCAGACTGTGGAAAGGGTGCAGGCCTGTCATGCCTCAGGGACTGCTGGGACCCCTCGTAATTCTCCAGCTGAGTCCTGGGCTCAGCCTAGGACCAGCAGGGGTCAGGGCTGAGGTCCAGGGGCTCTGACCTGCACGCACACCTGTCACCGCCCAGATAACTTCTTCCCCTTGTGGCCCCTCCAGCCAGCCTGCACAGCCTAAGTTCAAGCACAGCCAGCTTTCTACCACATGCCGCAGGATATTACCCACCCCCGCCTGGATGCTGCACAGGCTATGCCCCGCGCCTGGAACCCCATCACCCACTCCTCCCCTGGCTGACTCTCCTTCAGAGCTCAGCAGTTCTGCCTCTGGGCCAACCCCACCTCTACTGTGACACTAACACCCTAAATTGTCACTGCCTGGGGACTTTGCTCCACTCATCACTGTGTCCCTGAGGCCTTGCACAGGGCCTGGCAAAGAGCAGCTGGCAGTAAATGTTTTTTAGAAGACTGTGTGTCAAGAGATCAGGCTCAACTGGCCTGGAAGAGATGTACTGTATAAGCCACCTGCCTGTCATTCCTCCTGGCCTTTCAATACTGTGTCACCCAACCACCCCCCCAAACCAAAAAACACCAAGGCCTTAGTTGATAGTCATCAGTTTCATGAACAAAGACCAGCAGTGTCCTTCTGTGGGTTCTCAGGCCCTCCAGTCCAGCCTTTGGTCCTCCCCCACCCCCTGCCCTGCCCAGCCCCTTGGAGCACTCACTAGGCAGCTGAGTCGTTGAGCTGGTATTCCCTCGAGCGGCCAAAGCAGGCCTGCACACCATGGTCAGCCCAGAGCCTCCGGATGACGCCGGACAGGTCATCAGGGAGCACACCCTGCTCCTCAGCAGTGCAGGACAGTGCAAACAGCTGCCTGGCATCGTCCTGGGCACAGCGGCGGATGGTCAGGCAGTTGAAGGAGTGTACCCCCACTCTGCCAAAGGCAGGGAGACCTCTGGAATGGGGCCCAGGCCAGGGTATTCTTGGGTTCCCCAGGATGAGACTTGCCCTGAAACCTTTTGGGAGGTGAGAGAGGGTGGGGCGCAGGGCACATACCGCTCTGGAGGGGTCGGCAAAGTCGATCTGCAGGTTGCCCATGGCCTTGACAATGGCCATGATGGACTGGATGGTGTTGCTGTAGACAACCGCCCGGTACTGCCGGCATTCCTCCTCGGAGTAGCCGTCCTCGTGGATGATCCTGACAGCCAGGGGCCAGGAAGGTTAGTGACTCCAGGGCACTGGGAGTTCCCATGGCTGCCTGGGGCTGCTGGGACCTGCTTCAGAGAAGGGGAAACTGCTCCTGACCCACTGGGACCCAAGGATAGGTGACTGCCTCTGAGAAGGTTCTGGGCCTGGCTAAGACTGGCTGGGCCTATAGTGGGAGGCAGTACAGGCCCAGCGGATGAAGAGGGGAAGTTGGAGTTTGGGCGCTGCCTCTGGTGCACAGCACTTACTTCATCTGCTTGACGATGGTGCTCTTCCCTGACTCCCCAGCACCTGGAACAGAGGGCATGGGTGGTCAGGCACAGAGGGGCTCCAGAGGCACAGAACAAATGCCCAGACACCCTGTAGCCCAGGGGGCAGAACTAACCCTCCCATCAGCTGTACCGTGAGATGGAGGCAGCTGGGCCTGGTGGGCAGTTGAGCTACCAGGAATGCAGCTGCAGGACCACAGTGGTCAAGGTAACCTGGAGCACCTGTACCTCATCGCAGACTCTCTGCCGGCCTTTGCCTCCCATGAGCTCTGCTGCCCACATGGCTCCCCACTGCCCTGGTTGAGTTCAGGGGTCTTGGCTGGAGACTTGGCCAGCCCTGAAGGAGCCACCCTGTTCTCACAAACATGAGCTCGCCACCCTGTGCAGCTGGTGCATGCCAACACGGTGCCTTGGGCAGAGCTGGCAGGAAGATGCCCTGCATACTCCATCCAACAGGGTGGCAGCCCTTCTTCTCCCCACATTCCGAGCCTTAGCAACCAGGGGCCTAAGCAGGAGCACAGTGTCACTCTTGAGCTTTCAGGACATGGCCCAATGCCCCACCCTCTGCTCACTGTGCCCAGGTCTGACCTGAGCAGATGGAGGCTAGACAGCCATAACCTAGGACACCTACAGACACACACAAACACACACACACACACACACACACACGCCCATACTGACAAGCTTTTCCCTGGCCTGGTAGAGCCCTGCCCCATATTTCTCCTTAGCTGGTACTGAAATATGCCACATTCTCTCCTGTGTTAGTCACAGCAGTCCCAGAAACAGATACTGTTTCTGTTCCCATTCTATAGATGAGGACATTGAGGCTTAGAAAAATAAAGTCTTGATCTAAGATCACACAGCCAGGACTCAGAAGAGCAAGAGGGTGCAGGGAACCATGATGCCTGGTCCACCCTCCCATTCTCAAAATGTGGCTGAGACCCTGCAAAGCAATGCCCTGGGAGGTATTTAAAAAAGCAGATTCCCAGGTACCATCCCAGACAACAGAGCCAGATATTGAGGAGTGTAGCCCAGGAACCTGCATGACGCAGGGAACGTGTGTAAGGAAGGACCAGGAGGGCCATCCATCTCCCAGGCTGGGGGCCAGAGAGAGCAGAGGCAGGGCCTCACCTTGCACTTGCCCCCTTGCTGCTCGCTGTCTTGAGCTCCAGGTCGAATGGCCCTCAGCTGGGCCCCCGCTCTCCTTCCCAGACCCTCTGCTCCTGCCCCATCACTGCCAGTCACACCTGCAGCTCAGCTGCCAGGCACTGCCTCTAGCCACCTCCAGGACCCTGCTCATGCTGTTCTCTTTGCTGGGAATACCTGTCCCACGCCCCATTCACAGAGTCCCAATTCTCCTGATCACTGTGGCACATCTGTCCCTCTGTGCAGCTTTGCTGGGTGGGCAGTGGGGTCTGTGCAGAGGTCAACTTAGGTACTCTGACCACCTTCACCAGCATCCCCTGGGGCTGGTCAAGACAACCTCAGAGGAGGAAGGTGCTAACACACAAATGAACACAAGCAGCAACAATAACATCAGCAATAATGACAGCAAAGCTATATGAAAACAGCGCCCACCATATGCCAGATGCTGCTCTACATCGATGACACCCACCAACTGCTGTCTCCACAGCAATCCTGGGAGGTAGGTTCCATTCTCACCCCGCTTTAACCAGTGATGGAACTGAGGTCCAGGGAGGTTGAGGTCACAGGGTTATAGTCCCCGCTGCAGGGAGCACATGTGCCCACCATGCAGTCCCTCCTAGAGTTGTCCTGAGTGCCTGGTACTGCAGCGAGGACACATGGTCCACCTGTCACGTGGTCCACTCTCTACCTCCCCAGGCAGACTCTGGGCCATGTCTGCAGTGCTCAACAAGCAGCAGTAGGCATTGGGACATGGTGGCAGACCTTGCCAAGGCCCTTGGCCACCTTCAGCCCCCATGCCAGAGACCACCCTGAGGGGAAGGGCCTGAGCCCTCCTCACAAATGCCACCAGGTGCCTGCCATCACTGCACTTCTGATTGTCCCAGGCCCGCTTTCCAGGACTACGGCAGGGGACTTGGAGAGTGACAACTAGTTGAGTATGATGTTTCTTTTCGGAGGTGGTGATAATGTTCTGGAATTTTAGATAGCAGTGATGGTTGCACAACCTTGTGGACATACAAATGTGCAGGCCCTGGGCAGCTGGGGGGCCGTGGCTGGGACAGCAATGCCCTCTATTGCTTCAGCCCCTGGCCACTAGAGGCGCTAGGCCCAGTATCTTCACTGGGGTGTATACTGGGGTATATACCAGCACCGCTCCCTCCCCATTGGGCTGTGCATGGCAGAGGCACAGCCAGGATCTCCATACTAACACTCCTCCACCTGCCGATGGGGACATGGGGGAAGGTCCCAGGAAAGCCTCACAGTGATGTCCGATCATAAAGGCCCAGACTCAAGGCATCCATTGGGGCAGGGAGGGCAGCAGTGGCTATCCTCCCCACTGGCTCCTTCAGAGCAGGAGGAAGAACCAGGGGCCAGTCACAGCCAGAATGGGGGGGGCACTGGGGGAGCAGAGGCCAAGGATGTGAAGTCATGGGTTAGATCCATCATGTCATCCCCAGCCAGGCAAGCCGAGACTCAGCAGGCAGCTACACAGGCCACGGGCGACTTGAAGACTAGGGTGAAAGCTGCCCCCTCTTCTGTGACTTCAGGGGCTCCTGCCCACCTGAGGCATCAGTTTCCCTATATGGCCACTGGGAGTGAAGAGGGGGTCTGGGCTTTTGACCACTCTTTTTTTTGAGACAAAGCCTTGCTCTGTTGCCAGAGTGCAGTGGCGCAATCTCGGCTCACTGCAACCTCTGCCTCCCGGTTCAAGCAATTCCCCTGCCTCAGCCTCCTGAGTAGCTGGGAGTATGGGTGTATGCCACCACGCCCGGTTAATTTTTTGTATTTTAGTAGAGACAGGGTTTCACCATGTTGGCCAGGATGGTCTTGATCTCCTGACCTTATGATCCTCCCGCCTCAGCCTCCCAAAGTGTTGGGATTACAGGTGTGAGCCACCGTGCCCGGCTCCTTTGAGCACTCTTAGTAGGTGATGTGGGCTGCTCTGTGACCCTGCCCAGGGATAGGGATGAGGGTGCAAACTTGCTTTGCATCTGATTTTCCTAACAGCAGCTAGACCTGGTAGATACCAGGTGGGCAGCATGGAGCCAGTCACGCTAGGAGCCAGGATATCTGCTCCCTGCCCCAGCCAGGGAGGGCCCACTTCCCTGTCCCCTTCAAGTTTTGGTTTCCCCTCCTAAGGCCTCTTAAATGTTAGGAGAACATTCTCTACCCCCAGCAGGGGTCACTGAAAAAACAGCCCCACTTGACAGGTAAGCAAATCATGGAGGATAGAGGTCATGGAGCCTCTATCCCTAGACTCGGGCTGGTTGGTCTCTGTCTTTCCAGCAGCTGTGACTCAGGCGGGAAGTAGTGAGTGGCAGGACAAGGGTGTGGTGCAGGCAGCCAGGCAGGAAACGGGGAACACCGGGATGGAGGCAGGGGCACAGCCCAGGAGCAGCTCCAGGAGAGAAGGGGGCCGGGAGCAGAGATGGGTGGAGCCACAGTATGGCCTCTGGGTGGAATGAGTGGGGTGAAGAGCTCTCAAGCAGCCCAGAGGCTAAGTGCCCTGGCAGCTGTGGGGCAGCAGCCTCACTCTCCACACCTCTGGCTGGGTCCCCTTTCCGCCAGGATCTGAGGGATGTACCCTATCAGATAAGCTGACATGTGGCCGAGTTTTTCATGTACCCAGTTCCCCTCGAACCTGCCCCTCAGAGGGATAGCTGAGTCCAGATTTTTTTTTTTTTTAAAACAGTCAGCTAGGTGCAGTGGCTCACAGCTGGGTGTGGTGGCTCACGCCTGTAATCCCAGCACTTTGAGAGGCCGAGGCAGGTGGATCACCTGAGGTCAGGAGTTCGAGACCAGCGTGGCCAACATGGTGAAACCTCATCTGTACTAAAAATACAAAAATTAGCCAGGCATAGTGGTGGGTGCCTGTAGTCCGGTCCGAGCTACGCGGGAGGCTGAGGCAGGGGAATCGCTTGAAACTGGGAGGTGGAGGTTGCAGGGAGTTGAGATTGCACCACTGCACTCTCCCGCCTGGGTGATAGAGTGAGACTCAGTCTCAAAAAAATAAATAAAAAAGAAACAGTGTCTCACTCTGTCACCCAGGCTGGAGTGCTGTGGTAGTGCAATTTTGGGTCACCACAACCTCTGCCTCCCAGGTTCAAGTGATTCTCCTGCCTCAGCCTCCTGAGTAGCTGGAACTACAGGCATGCACCATCATGCCTGGCTAATTTTTGTATTTTTAGTAGAGACAGGGTTTTGCCATGTTGGCCAGGCAGGTCTTGAACTCCTGACCTCAAGCGATCCATCTGCTTCAGCCTTCCAAAGTGCTGGAATTACAGACATGAGCCACCGTGTCTGGCCTGAGTCCAGATTTCTGCCAAGGTGCTGGGTAGGGGAACTGAGGCAATAGAAGGTGGCATGAGTCAGCCTCTCCTTCCCGCAGAGGGCCTCACTAAGTACTCTATCCCCAACTGGGTAAGACCAGAGAGGCCTGCAGATGTTCCCTGGGGTGGCCTTGGCATTCCCACTGAGTCATACCTCTTCCCACCAAGGAAGAAAGCTCTGCAGCCTTTGCCCCGTGGTGCAGCTGCTGGGCCCACAGCAAGCGGGCAGTAATCGCAGTGTAGTGCTTCGCGGTGGCAGCTGCTCTGCATTAGAACATCTGCTTCCACTCTGGGAGTGCTGAGTCCCAGTGGAGGAGGGAACGATGAGAGAAGGGAGACATTACCACTCCACCTGTGCAAACAAGGCCAGTGGGGCCCCTGCAGCAGGAGAGACAGGCCCATAGGTCTGGTTGCTTGATGCTTATTCCAGGTCCCAGCACTCAAGTCATAGCATCTGTTCATCTTGGACCCTCTAACTCCTTAACAGGCTTTGATCTGCTGGGAGGCTGAGACTTGCTCCTGTCCTTTCTGGCTTCAGTCTCCCGTG